CGTTGTTGCTGACAGCAACTTCCCCAACCCTTCCCCTCCCCCACCCCGCTCCCCCCCACCGACCCTGATTCTCGAAAAGTGACAGTTTCGATTGCGCTTTTAACGCGTCACGATACAACAAAGATGAAAAATTTGTAAAATGTGGGTTTTTCGCGTTATTTTTAACAACGGACAAGATCCCGGAATATGGATCTCCAAACCTCGGGATGAGGAACTTTTCCCGCGTCATATTACTAATACTAACGCAAACCTTACCTGGAACTTTAACACACCCTGCCTTAACTTGGCGGAAAGCCACCCTTCCGTTCTCGAAAGCACCTGGTCAAATTTCCTAAACACATGATAGTAGAAACTTGAGGGCACTTAAATAAGCACAAGAGTGCATAGTTTTTCCGGCAATGGGAAAAGAATTACTACTCGGTGTTATTTCACGGCAACTCTGGTCATCTGCACGTTGTTCAAATCTTGCCTTTTGACGAAATCTAAACAGAACTTGAGAATTTTCCCGTCCGATTTGGCCAGCCTGTTGCTTTATTGTCTGCCGCTTCGACTTTGTTTACGCCTGATTGATGCGTGAACACGCCCGTGGCGACTTTTCCGCACCGCGGATCTCCCTCCCTCAGGGGTTGGGGGGGATTGAGGAGATAGGGAAGCTAGTTTCGTTCATGGTAACGGGGCTAAACTAGCTAACACGACCACAAACGGCGGATCACTGACCTCGGAAACGGGCCCCCGCAGAGACGAGCAGGTGCCGAATCCAACCACGCACACCTTATCACCTGTCTTGGACGATGGTCCGTCTAGATACTGAAATTTTGACCGAAACCTCCCCAACCCTGCCCCCCCCACCGACCCTGACCACAACAACACTACATCCCTCTACCAACCAGCATAGTTTTTTTATTTCATTACCATATAAATGTAAAGGTCTGACGAGAATTTACAGAAAATGTAATCCGAATGAATGAAAAAGTTCGCGTTCCAGGTATCTGCATGGATAAGAGAGAAGACGTGTCGAGCACCGGATCAATTGGTTTATTGTCCTAAGATTTCGAACTCTTACAGGAGTTCATCTTCAGAGATAAGAAGCAGCAACCAAA